ACAATTATTTTGTTGACATTTCCGATTTAGATTTTTCTACACATCTGTTCAATTTTTCAATACACTTTGTGAACGAAATAAAAATTAACAACAAAACGTTTATCACAACAAGTAAACCACAATACGGCGAGTTAAAATATATACTCTGCAATGAATCACCTGATTTTGTGTCGCGTGCCCGTTGATAAATTTATTTGCTATAACGCCCTCACGTTTTGTGCCAGCGATCACTGACCGACTGCGACAGATTAATTACACAACAAACAATAAATAAAACTGCGTCAAATAAGTTAGCATAAACTAAAAATAAACTGTAAACATTTGTACATGTGCTAATCAGAACGAGAGAAAGCAACACTTGGCGTTCAAGTTCGTCGCATTGACCCCCAAGTGACGTATAGCGTATAGGGAAGCGAAGAAAGAAGAAGCAACCTACAGAAGCCGGCTAACGCTTGTTTTTGGAAAAGGCAACATTGCTTAAAATGCTACCGGGGCGGCAGATACCTCAACCCATTGCACAAGAGAATCCATTATGGGTATCGTGGCACGATACGCAGATGATGGCGTCACTTAGCCCTGCCACAGTTATGGATTACTTTTGTCGCAAATCCAACCCGTTCTACGACCGGGTTTGTAACAATGAAACGATTCGTATGCAGCGTTTGAGTCTAGAGCATCTCAAGTATAATTTTTTAAAATATGATTATAAATTAAGTATTTAATTATTTGTCCTTCTATGCAGCAATATGGTTGGTGTTGAGTATATCCTACTGCACGTGGCTGAACCTATATTATATGTTATTAGGAAGCAACATCGTCATAGTCCAACAGAGGCGACACCAATGGCGGATTATTATATTATCGGTGGCATGGTGTATAAAGCACCGGATCTGGCTAGTGTCATCAATTCAAGAATCGTATGAAATTTACATTTCATGTTAACTATTTTTAACATCTAATAATTTTCAGCTTGCCACAGTTACAAATTTGCAATCAGCTTTTGAAGAAGCTAGCAGCTATTCAAGATATCATCCAAATAAGGGTTACACATGGGATTTTGTTTCAAATAAAGCACGTGAGTAATTGTTTACATTTACAAGCACATAAAAACTTCATAACTCTTAATTACTTTTTGTAGTTTCAGACAAGTCGAAAGCTAACAAGAAAGATGCATCGTCCAATAAAGATGATAGTGGAACAATATTCCAAAAGCAACGAGTTGATATGCTGCTAGCTGAACTGTTGCGTAAATTTCCGCCTCCGATACCCCCAGTTATACATCAACAACAAATTCAAAATCAACAACAATTGCAACAATCACAAATGCAAAATGCTGCGCAAGAAGGCACTGCAATTGATGCAAATAATGTTGCTAACACTGCTGCTAGCTCGAATAACGGTATCGTACCCTCAGAGGCAAGTCCTTCTCCCAATGCGGTACCTGGTGGAATCGAGCCAAAGGTCGAGGGAATCGATATGAAGCCACCACCGGAGAAGAAAATAAAAATGTGAATACATCTCAATCAAAAATTAATTATCGAAAATTATTTATATCACGAATAAATTCTATTCCTACAAATTTTTATCAAATATTCTACACAATTTTTCACCTGCAAATTACTGTGTAAAGTTCAAAATAGGACTGGAATTAGAAGACCATAATTCGGTATATGAACGTCGATTTCCGAACCAAATACGCAAGTCATTTATTGCATAATAAATTTATTCATATGCACTTCGTGCTAAGCATACTGATGCCTTTTTATAAACATTTAATAATATATCTAACAGTAGACGCATCATGTTCAAATATATTTAATTTATTTTTGTATTAATCACCTTGTGCGTATGCATGTTGTTTATGTGTGCATGATTAGAAATTTGTATACTGCGTTGTAACAAAGTTGCAGCGCGGAATTGCTCTGGTGTAAAATTTTTTTATACAACCTTTTTGGCTACACCACACACCTTACCTATATGCTCCTCTTGTTCTAGCGAATCTACAATAAATTTTGCTAAGTCATACTTTGAAATAGCACGGCCAGGAGCCTCATCATGCAGCACTATGTAATCAGACGACGGTTCATCAGCAATGTGCGGTGGCAATACAGCTACATAGTCCAGACCAGAGGACTTTGTCAACTCCAACATTCGTTTGTGTTCTTCGTTTAATTTATGAAACACTCCCGGTACTTCTGAAAGCGGACGGAACAAAAATGATGACATGACAATAGAAAAACGAGGTACATTTTTTTCTTTCATTGCGGCAATGACGTTTTCCGTGCCGGTGGATAACTCTGTAGTAGCCTCTAACTTGTTTCGAGTGCCCAAAATGATACACACCCCATCCACACCGTCGATCACTTTTTTGCAGTCGTCTAAATTCAGCACGTTGCCATTGACCAATTCGACTTTGCCTTTAAAACGCTCCGGCAATGTCGTTTCACTTCTATATAACAGACGGACGGCCAATCCTAGAATAAAAGAACATTAACGTATTGTGTGCTTATCACTTACGGCATCAATTATACCTTTTTGCAGCGCATAATCCACGACACATTGGCCGGTCATGCCGGTACCCCCAATTACAGCAATGCGTTGCATAATGACGTGATTTTTAAATTCAGCTCCAATGGCACTGCAACTTTTGAAAGACTGTACCTCAAACCAAACAAAATTGTTATCTTTATTATCGGCGGCCGAGAGTAGATAGTGCACTTTTTAAGCGAAATAAAATTCCTGTCGTTGTGTTCGTATGAATGGGCAACGTCTGTTTTCGCTTTCTCTGCGCTTAGGCGGAAGTAACAATAACAAGTGCTAAAAAAACTCGTAGTTCGCTGCAATAGAAATGTAAAATGAGCGGCCCAAGGTTAATTCACCGCAATTTTCAAGTTTTGATTACGTTTTCGCTCTATGGGATGGCAATATACAATAACTGAAAATAACGAATGTTATGGCTTGTAGGCAAATTGTAATGCATTATACTCTCGTTTTAGACAAAAACACATAACATATTTCCCATGTACATAAATTATATTTTTCATACTACATACCTACGTCCATATAAACATGTGTAT